CTAACATCCCGAACAGCCTTCAAAGAAATGCACGAGTTCTCTCTCCGCATGAAGGGCCGCAAGAAAGGTTCTGTGGGGGAAGGAGAATTTAGCACAATTTAAGTACTTTGTCAAACCGTAAGGCATACCCGAGGAAGCCGAATGTGGAGTGCGAATTGAGGGACCGAGTTGTAAAGTGGTGTTAGTGACATAATCACGAAGCTTCACGGATGGCTTTCGTACACGAAGACCTTTCCCCGTGGATGCAGTGGACAAGTATGCTCCTCGAGAACCTCTAGTTCTGTCATCATATAGTCGGCTTGTTCCGGTGGGAGAACGATCCGGGTGGGAGGCTCTTGTTCATGGCATTCGGCCGTGGCCCTCCCCGAACTCGGTTGTGGGCACATCTTCTCGTTGTGGGGTTAACGTCATCGGCCTCCACAACGTGTTCTCGCATTGTTCATTGCACCAAGTCCAGGCAATGCTTCCTCGACAATGCCAACATCAACGAGAGGCAATCCTACCTCCGAATGTCTACCGTGGGCAAGAGAGGCAAACGAGAATTCATGTTCTACAAACTTAACATCTCTCGAAGTCCGAAGACTTCTCTTTCCGGATCAAACAATTTCCAACCCTTTTTTCGATTGAATATCCAACAAATACATTCTTGCGACTTCTACTTGCAAATTTGTCACCTTTCCTATCTTGGTTATGTGCATAACACAAGCATCCAAATACCCGTAGATGGTCATAAGTGGGTGGCTTCCCATTCAATATTTCATATGGAGTTTTTCCATGGAGAACGGCTGAGGGTGTACGATTGATCAAGTATCCCGCGGTCAAAATGCATTCTCCCTGCAATTGAAGTGGAAGTTCTCCCCGAAATCGTAGAGCACGAGCTACATTTAGGATGTGTCGATGTTTTCGTTCGGCTCTCCCATTTTGCCGAGGTGTTCCAAAGTGCATGAGGTTTGATGGAGTATCCCATGTTGCCGAAAATATCGTTGAAGACACATAAACTCGGCTCCATTGTCACTTCGTAATATTTTGACTTGTTTCTCGTATTGTCGTTCTATTAAGGCGATGAAATGCATTAAGGTTTGTGACACATCTTTCTTATTATTCAAGAGATATATCCACACACCTCGAGAACAAGTCATCAACCAAAGTGAGAAAGTAAGATGCACCACAAGACGAGGGAGTTCTATATGGACCCCATAAATCACAATGTATTAAATCAAATATATTGGATGCTTGAAAATCACTTAAAGGAAATGTGTTTCGCATTGCTTTGATCTCTCACACACTTCACACACACGAGTTGTATCCGTATTTCTATTCACGCTATTCGTATGCGGAATTTTTCTAACAATCTGGTAGGCGTGATGTCCCATTCGCTTGTGCCAAATCTCTAGTTGATTTTCTCGCATTGGTCCGATACGCCTTTATGCCACTCACACCACGATACCAATAGAGTCCCTCTTTTCGTTCACCCGCTCCAATCAGCATCCTCGAAGTGTGGTCCCGCATTGCACAAAATCTATCGTAAAATGTACCGTACATTTTACTTCATTCGTCAATTGTGATACTCGAAATCAAATTGCAATTCAATTTCGGAACATATAGAACATGTTTAAGTTTCGAGTCCTCCATCAAGGAAAACCGATCCTTCTTTGTTTGCCAGCACCAATTCACCATTTGGTAGTCCCACCGGGCACCCTTCCAAGGCTCGACTCTCCCTCAAGTTTTCTAGTGTTCCCGTCATATGATTGGAGGCGCCACTATCAATAATCCACAAGTCACATGCTTTCTTACCAGCCATCTTTTCGCTTCATTTGCCTTGCGAGAATTCAACATTGTCGTCAAGATCTCGCCATTGCTCATTACTCGCCCCGCGACTTCCGGTTTTTCTGTTGAACCAACGTTATCCGCACCAGCTGTGCGCCATATTGACGCGAGCCGTTCCTCCTTTTCCTCGAAGGTTCCTCGTTCTTTGTTGATTTTTTTCATCATTTCTATCGGTTCGTGGTCTCTCTCCCCACCATTCTGGGTAACCAATGATCTTGAAGCAATTGCCTTTGTCATGTCCCTTCCTTCCACACCGCATGCAAACAACCGATTTTTCTTTCGCTTCATTGCGCAACTTGTTCCCGGTTTCCGCTCGCATAGCCATTCCCACGATCATTCCTCGCTCTTCTTTAGACCCGGTGATTGTTCTCACCCTTTCTTCTTGCACCATGGTGCCATACACCCGATTCAACGAGGGTAATGGATCTCGTTGCCAAAACATTTGACCATGCAGCTCCATAGCCCTCATCATCTAGCCCCATCAAGAACTCGATGAATTTTTTCTTCTTCTCTTCGTTTCTCAAGTTGCGTCATAATATTACACTTGCATCCCCCACATCTACACCGTGGGATTTGCTCGTAATTTGCCAGCTCATCCCACAACGTTTTCAACTTCCCATAATAGGAAACCATAGTCATTCCTTGTTGTTTGCATTCTCGCCAACTCGACTTTAGCCGCTGGATTCTTGGTCCGTTCACGATCGAGAATCGTTCCTTGATGTCATCCCATAGGTCCTTTGTGTTTTCCATGTATGCAACAAGTGGAACGCAAACTAGGTTCTATAGTGTTTAGTATCCAAGATACAAGCATCGATTGAATTGTCCACCAATCTTCTATCTCGGATGTGTCTTCTTCAGGTTCCTTATGAGTTCCATCTATGAAACCCCATTTCCTTCGAGCCCGCAGAGATATCTTCACTGCCCTTGCCCATTCCTCGTAATTCTCTCCTCGTAATTGTACCCGTGTAATCACATTTCCAGGATTATCACCGGCACTCGATCGTATGGCGATGGTGTTTTCTTCACCGCCTCTCCTCTCTCTCGCCATTTTAGAAGTACGACCGTGTTCTCGGCCGTTGGATATCGAGTTTGGTTCGCTCCGATACCATGATAAAAATATTTCCAAAAGCCCCTGTCTTGTATTGAATATGATAGCACAATATATACATGAAATACAGAAACATTCTAGGCTATAATTACGCTAACCATTATAGTCGGTATCCTAAATTTGTCTATTAACAGATATGACATTAATGTGCATAACTGTGCATCGCTGTCATGCCAAGCTAAATATGGAAAAAAATAATCATGTAGAATCATGGCATGATACGGTATTTGTAATCGTATATTCTATGTTTATCACATGATGATAGGTTTTAGTGGCATGGAAGGTATGAGTGACACACGTGTGAAAATGATGATGGGTGGATGATGTGAAGATATTGTGAAATGAAATGATGTAAAATTTTGACTAGAGAGATGACTAATTCTATCCTTATGGTGGGAACGATTGAAACAACCCACGTGGAGCACCACCTTTCACTTCAGGAAATATGTGTTGATGTCAAAATATGCTTATATGTTCAATCTTGTCCTTTAATATAATTATATAAGAATTGCATAATACTATTTTATATTATTTTTATACATAAATTAAAATCTTATTTTTTTATACTTTTAAAAATTGAAATGTGATTTATAATTTAAGAGTATTATTAAAATGATTATTATTTTTGTTTGTGTTATATTTATAAACATATTCGGTTTATTATTGTAAAATATGAAGTGTCAATATATATTGTTCTTAAATAGCTTTTAACTAGGTCCACAAATAGTTCAGGTGGCGAATATCTTAAAGTCTATTAGGCCGAGTTTTCTTAGATGTAAAAAGAAAAATCTATTTGTAAATACATTTTGATTTTTAAGTTAATACGAAAATAAAATCATTGAATTAAAAATAATAATTAAAGGGTATATAATAATAAGATAATAAAATAATAAAGTAATGTTATTTATCGGTAATAGATTTGGTTATTGATTTTAAAAGAAGATCAAAATCATAAACAAATCCCAAAGTTATAAAACTTTAAAAATAATTTCAAAAAGTCTTCTTAAAATTCTTATTAGAATATGTTATGTAATCATTTATACCTGTTTTAATATTTATTATTATCTAATTAAAGTAATATTATGATAGTAACTAAAATAAAATAATTAATTAAAGGAATATTTTAGTCAAACATAATAAAAATAAAAATGTGGATAAATTCCTAAGTCCATCCAACTTAGAGTTTTAATATGGTGTTTAAGAATGAGTTTGATTTTATATTTTATTGAATTATTGTTAGGATATAGGGTTAAAGGTGTATTATGCGTTATTAGAGGTTGACAAGTGCATGTGTATATAAATATTAATGTGAATATGAAGGTTCTATGTTATTATTGAAAACTGACAAGTCTTATTTGTATGATATAGTGTATGTTGAATGAATTGTTGACACATATCCTCAGTCACCTCATTCACTCAATGCATGTCTCAGTAACATCTCATTCAAGGTGACCTTTGTGTGTAACACTTGTTTCTAATAAAGTTGTCAAGTCTTGTTTGTATTGTAGAGTGCATGTGGAATTCTTGACATGTGTCCTGAACCACCTCATTCACCTAATGCATGTCAGGGTAACATCTCATTCAAGGTGACCTCTGTGTGTAATACGTGTTCGCAATCAAGTTGACAAGTCTTCTATGTGATAAATAGTGGAAGATCTTCTTGGGAGCTGAGAGGGGTCATGCCCCCCCTCAAAGTTTTGTAACTCCCATGTAATTTATAATTTTGACCCTCCAAATTTAATGAACATTTAATATATTTACTTATATATTTACAATTTTATCCTCTCAGCCTCTCCTCAATTTTGTAACTCTAATATAATTTATGATTTTGTCTCTCTCAAACTTAATAATCATTTAATATATTTAAGTATATATCTATAATTTTATTCTTTCACTTTTTCATCTTCTTTCTTCCTTTTATATTTATTTATTATTTATTAATAATATATTATTTGGCCCCCAAAATCAATGGTCAAGATCCGCCACTTGGTGATGAAGTGCATGTGGAATTATTTACACGTGTCCTGAGCCACCTCATTCACTCAATGCATGTCAGGATAACATCTCATTCAAGGTGACCTCTGTGTGTAACACACATTCCCAATAAAGTTGATAAATCTTGTCTATATGTAGAGTGCATGTGGAATTGTTGACACGTGTCTAGAGCCACTCACCTATCTAATGCATATCAAGATAATGTCTCATTCAAGATGACCTTTATGTAACACGCGTTTCCAATGAAGTTGAGAAATCTTGCATGTGTGGCAGAGTGCATGTTGATTAATTTGTAAAAATTTGGTATTGTTTATCTAGTTGTTGTTTAATGAAAAATTGATTGTTGTTGTTATCGTTTTTGTTCCATTATTTGATGACATGACTTAATTTTATTTGGTTTTATGAATTAATTGGTATTTTAGTTAAGGTGTTTGAGCCTGTACTTTGGGATCACAAACAGAGGTACATTATAAGTTTTTGGCATAAATATCATTATTTTATTAGGCATTGGATCTTATTAGTTGAACATGAAACTTAACGTTTTTAGGTTGAAGGAACATTGTGATTATATTGGTTAGAAATTTTACTATGAAGAAGAATCATTGTGAAGGCCCAATTAGGTATTTGAGCATATTTTTTGGACGAATAAACATAGGTATATGATAAGTGTTTGCATTAATGTAGTGTACCCAAGACTTGAGAGTCAATGGATTGAGGATAATTATATATATATGTGTACTACATTCAATACATTACACAAAATGTTATGAGAAGATTAAAGAATGCGACTTTGAAAGAGGACCTTCTTAATATGGGTAAGAACTATTACAACATAATAAGACAAGTTAATCCAAAAGCAACAACCTAAATCAACAAAATTCTTAAAAACAAATAGGTACGTGCATATGGTGAAGGTAAAAGATGTGGTCAACTTACAATTAACTTAGCAGAATTAATCAATTCAATACTCAAGAAAACAAAGACAACATGATGCAACAACTTTTTCACCGAAAGAAAGAGACAAATCACTACAATGATTATTGTTAGTCATGTCTATTCAGAAGTTGCATAGGGTACTTGAATGTAATAAAAACAATACAAGATTCTTGGTGGAGTAGATCATCAACCCAAAAGAAGTTTGACCTGCTAAAAGTTTAGTTGTTAATTATAGGAAATTCGAAAAATATTATCTATCATGTTCTCATGTGCTTGTAGTGTGCAAACAGGCCCACCATAATTCTGACATGTACATCAATCATGTATACATGTTTGATGTAGTAAACAAAGTGTACGACAATTTGTTTAAGGAGCTTAGACACAACATCCACCAAGGCCCACAACTTTGCTCTAATCCGTTAAGATTATTCTAACTTTAATTCAAATTGTATAACTTACTTAAATTATTTAATTTTAATTTATATATAATTTTAATAAAATATTTATGCCAATTCTCTATTTTATATTATATCAAAGTTAAATAAAATAATTTTTAATACAAATGTTACATTGACTAAAAAAAATATATTTATTACAAATATTAAATAAATACTTAAATATTATATATATATATATATAAACATGTATTTATTAAATTCATAAATATATAATTATATTATATATATATATATATATATATATATATATCTATAAAAATATATACAAATATATTAAAGATATAATTATATAAATATGTTTTTATTATATATAAAAATATATATTTATCTTTATCAAATACAAAAATATAACAAATGTTTTAAATATGTATATCTATATATTTATTACAAATATATAAATATGTATAATATATTAAAAATATAAAATATTATATTATATATATATATATATATATATATATATATATATATATATCAACTGTGTAAAAAATAATTTAAAAATCAACAAAAAAACTTTGATTTCTGGGAAACCAAATTCTGACTAGTAATTCGACTAAATTCAACAAAATTGAAGGTCAGAATTCGATTCTATGTTAATGGTGTTAAAAAAATAAGTTTAATCCAACTAATAAACTTGAAAAGTTCAAAAAATAGGCCAATTTAGGTAAAAAATTGTATGACATAAATTAAATTGAACATTTAAATCATAATTTATATGGACTTAGATGAAGTTAGTCGGTAGATTTATGAATCAACTTGTTTTATAGTATAAAAGTTATTTTTATATAAAAATAAAACTAATATTATTTTATTAATATATATATATATTATTAATTAATTTAAAAAAATTTACTTATTTAAAATAAATCTCTAACAATCACTTATTAATGATTAAAATGGATTATTATTAAAAATTAATAAATTATTAAAAAATAAATAATGATAATTAAGAGTATATTTTTTATTTTTAAGATTAAATAAATATATTATCTTATAATTTATATATTAAATTATTATATCTTAAAAAAACTAATTTTATTAATAAAATTTAATTTTTAAAATATATTTTTTATTTAAATATATTTTTTAATTAACTGATTTTATATAAATATATTAATATATATATATATATATATTAATTTCAATTAGACCAAAATTAACCGTTAGCTTGTTGGCTTAACATTGGAATATTACAATTTTTTAATTTTTTTAAATATAAGTTAGGTTAAAAATTGTTTTTTTTTTTAAATATAAGTTAGGTTAACTCTATTGATAATGGGATTAAAAGAGGACTAAGGAGTTTTTAAAAAAAAATTGGAGAAGAAAACTTATTACATTTTATAGCTTACCAAATTGTACAATTCATAAAATTAAAAATTCAAGTATATCATTTTTCAAGGGACTTGTATAATATTAGAAAAATATTCAAATTCTAATTAGCTTAATTAAACAATATACAATAAATTATTATTATAAAAAATTAATTATTTTTAAGAATCACTAAAGTGTGAGTAAAAAAAAAAGTAAATTAGAAATCAAGGTTGTGCAAATAGTATAAAATATTGGAAATAATACATTTTAAAAAGATTATTTAAATAAAATTTCTATCTGATAAATAATATATTTTAAAATAATTAAGGTTAAAATTTATTAAACATCACTCTCTTTTATAATATAATATCTAATTTTTGAGTTAATATTAATATTAATTATAAAATTTATTCGAAATCCTAATTTCTTAAATAAAAAGAACCATTTTTTTAAGTTTTAATTTTTTTTAAGTAACTCAATGAAGTAACTTATTTTAAACGTAATGATTAAAATATGAATGATAAATCATAAGATACACCAATAACTACTCTTATTTATATTTAATCGGGTTTGAAGTATTAGACTTAATGTGTAATTCACTAGTGGAAAAATAACATTCTATGACGAGTTTTTATCACGGTCGTAGTCCACTTGTCATAGTATGTAGCGCGGTGGCAATTTTGTAATTAAATCATAAACTTTCTATGTCGGGTAAATTTTAACCGACATAGTAAATGGAAAGTTCACTTTCTATGTCGGTTAAAATTTACCCGACATAGAAAGTGAACTTTCTATGTCGGTTATAATTTACCCGACATAGAAAGTGAACTTTCTATGTCGGTTAAGTTTTACCCGACATAGAAAGTGTATATTAAATAAAAAAATTTAAATATATAAGTATATAAATATTTATATATCAAAATATATAAATATATTTGTATTTATATATTTTGTATATAAATATAATTTATTTGTAAGTTATGTATCGGAAATTTGTAATAGTTTAGTGGTTGGAGTATCAATCTCCAACTCTAAGGTACTAGGTTCAAATCTTGTTAGACACAAATCTCTTAAACGAGATAATAAAATAATATATTATAAAGTATAATAAAAATATAATATGAATAAATAAATAAAAATCGTACTAGTGTAGTGGTTGGTCTAATTCTAGACTCTAATGTATTGGGTTCGAATCCTACCAGGTGACAATTTTTATAAAAATTCCATTACTTTCTATGTCGGTTCGAAAAGTCATACTTTCTATGACCTCTGTATCTATGTCGTCTCTTTAACCGACGTAAAAAGCTCATTTTAACCGACATAAAAAGTCTTTTTTGCACTAGTGATTTATCAAATCCTGCAAAGTGGAAGGATTGAAATCACCTTTCTGTGTCCCTCTCTCTAGTCATGTTAAAATATGTCAATTAGAAAAAAAATATTGAAATTTAGTTCACAAATATTTAAAGGTAGTTTGAAATAGAATTCTTTGATGGTAGCAATGTTACAACACTCTTTAATTATTAACGAAGAATTTTGATTAGCAATATTTAAATAGGACTGAAAAAAACTTGCTTTTACAAACTAAAATCAGTATTTTGTAAAATTTGAGAATTGAAAAACTGGTCATTTAAATTATTACATTTTCTTTTTCAAAATTACAAATTGCATTAACTATATTCATAATAAATATTATTTGTAAATATCAAATATAAGCATATTACCATGTGAGTAAACATAATATTTACAAAATATTAAGTTAAATACTAAATATAAGAATTACCAGGTAAGTATATAAATTATGGTTTGTTGGGGTAATCCTACTAGTTTTTATATTTTTCAAGATGGGTCTTGTAGTTTTATGAGGGATTTTGTTTCGGATATCGCTATATCTAATATTTGGACATGGAACAACCTTCACAAAGAGATTGAAATAAGTTATGTGGGTGAAATTTGACTCTAAATATTTGAAAACTCTACTTTGTCTAATTCACTGATAAAAGCGAACTTTCATGGCTTTTTGGCATCTTGGATGCATTTAAAAATAATTTTATTAAAAGTAAGTTCAGTTTATTTGAATATAAGTTTTCTTCATAAAAAATTTATATCACTTCGTAAATTAGTTGTTATGTTGGTTTATTTTTATTTATTATAAAATCTATGAAAAAAAATTATATTAGTTACAAAATAATCGACATAAGATCATTATATTAAAGACATCAAATCTAAACACATAAAACATTTCTTACATAAATTTAAGCACACAAAGATACACAAATTTCTATCAAGAGTTCTCTATACAAATCTTTATCATTTCAAAATATCGTATCTTCATTGCCTATAAAAACTCTTATTGTAAAAGTTGATAAAGAAATACTAAAAAATTAGATAATAAAAAATATTTCAATTTATTGATTCAATTATGGATAACATATTTATCTTGTTAGACGAAGAATCAACGTAACAAAAAAAATATCACGAGTAAGAAGATAAAGAATGAGAAAAAGATGAATAGTGGGAGGAAGATAGATAATATAAAGGATTAAGAAGAAGAATAAACACTGAAAAGAAGATATATATATATATATAAGGATTGTTAATTTTAAAGGAGTCTATAAAAAGAGCAATGAGATGTTAACATTGGAAGTTTACTGGATAGAATATTAGGAAAATTGGAGAGAGAAAAAGGCATTAAAATGTAGACTTCAATAGTATTTGACTTGTGAACATGAAATAAAAGAAAAGCAGGTGACTATAAAAGTAAGAAATGGAGTTGGAAGAATTTGAGAAATGAGGTATGCCATTTGCCCTCTAATTCCTACGTTGACCTCTTCCACGTCAATCCCAAACGCAATGAAGTTTCATGTGCAATTAATTAATTAAATCTTTATAAAATATAAATCACTTTAAACATGTTGAGTATATAGAACGTGAACCATCGAATCCCTAATCAATAAAACACTTAACCTTTAAATAACATTTCAAGTTATAATTTAACAGCCATCTTAGTTGGAGGAGAGAGATAAGAAAACAAAACAGAAAAACAAAAGTAATAATATATTCATGAATATGACAACGAAAGAAGAGATTTAAAATATACTTGTCTTGCATATATATTATGATTGTAATAACTACAATGTTATTATGACTTTTGAATAGAACACCACCACACAAGTTGAACAAGCAAACACAAATTTATAAATAAAAAAAGGAAAACGAATCGTATCTTTGATTTTACAAGTATAAGACCAAATATATGTCAATTAATTAAAAATATATAGTTATAGATCCTCTTATACATTTTTGGGTGCAACAAACTTATGCACATTATTGTGTTTTTTTGGGATTAAACCCCTCCTGGGGATTTTGGGTCATGATCTTTATTTGCTCCAGTCCCTTCATAGTCTTGGGTTTCCAAATACACCCTTCTCTCTATCAATTCTCCTTCCTTCGTGTCAACTACCACCTCCTCACCATTTCCAAGGGCACGGTTCATCTACAAAATTCATCAAAAGGAACACAAACTAATTTGTTATAAAATTCATTCACTCTGAACTTAAAGCCTATCATCTTCCCTTACTAGATCTGGAGTGGATGTAGTGATGATGACACTCAAAGTATGTCTCTTCAAATCCTTTTAATTGGCTTATAATAAATAGCTTTAAACAATAATAAAAGGAATATTTTCATTTGCTGTGTGCATTTTGTTGAAAAAATTTATCCATTAACTTAAGCTAATTAGCCGTATTAAACTCTAATACTAATAATAATGATATATAATTTCTGACTCCACAACAGTGAATAAAGGGTTTACCTTGGAAAGGTAAGGAACACTAACCCCAGTTAAAGAAGTTATGGCTGAAAATTCATCTTCTTTACCTTGGAAATTTTGGGTTCCTACAACCAAAACAAATAATCAATCAAATTCATCATATATTTTAAAATTTACATAGCGACCTACAAGAAAACTGCAGAGTGAGTTAAGTACGCTATGAAAATCTTACTTGTTACAGCAGAGGCAGAAAGAAGATATGAGAAGGACAAAAAGATGATCAGCAGCACCGGCAAGTTCATGAGGTTTCTCTGCATCTTGGAAGATGAATGAATAGCAATGGCAATAGCATACACCACACAAAGTTGTTGGATGACAAGGAAGAGCACTAGAAGCAGATGAGAGAGGTAGCATGAAGATTTGTGCTTAAATAGGTGGCACAATAAAGAGACCTGAATGCACTAATTAATGCACCACATAAGGCCAAAAAAGTCAACTTGTTCATCATATTTTTATATTCTGTGCCCACTGACCTAACTCGGCTTATTCTCTGTTCATAATCCACACATGTACATTGGTAAAGATCCTAAAGGTGCTGTCTGTATTTCTTTTAAAAGTCTTTTTTAGCACACTGCACTCATGACAATGTTTTCAGATTTATATCATTGGAGTAAAATATTATCGTGTTGTTATGTAATTGTCTGCATATTATGCAACTTGACATTATTAAAAACTTTTTATTCAAATTTAAACTTGCGTTTCACTTTATATGAGTACTGTTGTTGTTGTGGTTTGGTCAAGCCCAATCCATTTAATTTCTAGGCCAGACACGAAAATGGGAAAATTAGTAAACTCTCATCAACCATCATATCTTCACATACTCCCACGCTTGATTTGTTAGCTTATAACATAGAATGGGATACTTTAGATCTTTTCGAATGACTAATAATACTGTGATTTTCCATACTCAACCATACAAAGGTATACAAGAGAAATCTACAGGATTTTTCTCACCTATAAAGGATAACTTTTTCATTTTTAGTCAATACAAAATTTCAACTCACATATAAGTTTTCAACACTATCGAACCAAAAACAAGGAAACTTTTTTCAAAACTCTTGTACAGAAGAAATTAAGGAGAAGAATTAACTTATATATTAGTTAAAATTCATATTTTAGAGATTCTAATAAAAATAACTTCTATAAGTTAATTTATACAAAAGTAAATTTAGTTTATGGAAAAATTGATTTCAGTTATAATACTTATTTTTCTTTTATAAAAATATTTATGAGAAATTTCTTTAAATATATCCTATTTTGTCTTCAAAATAGATTAATTAAAGAACACATTTTGGTACAAATAAAGTCCACATTATCATAATGAATCCTAGTATATAGTATAACCAACATTTTTAAGGTCCCTTAACATATATTACTAGTGAAGAAAGTATTTTTATGACGGTCATTTTAGATTTTTTATGTCGATTATTAAATAATTAATATAATAAGTGTTTATTATATTGATCCTTAACATAATTGTCATAAAAAGTCTTATGTTGAATATCTTTTATATAATCATATTGTTTCACAAATATTTTATTAAATCGTTTCGATGCAATAAATTTTAAAAATTAAATACAAACATTATCCACATACGAAAATACAATTAAATATAAAATGTAAATATAATCATTTAAATTGGATGAAAAATTATTCATTAAAGAAAAATTCATAATAATAATTGCAATATAACATATTAGATAACTTCATTCAACCAAATCAGAAAACATAAACTAATATAGAAAATATGAGACAATGCTTCCATATTTTACCTTTGTTGTAAATGAGGAGGAAACAAGATTATGGGAAGTAGTAATTCAAGCATGAAGAAAACAAAAGTAAATAAATGTAATGAGGAGATAATGAAATAAAAAAAAGAGTTGAGTAGAGTTCTTTGTATAAGAAAAAAAAATAGAAAATGAGAAAGATAAAGAAGATAAATGAAACTAAATATTTTAAATCTGGTTACTTTTAAGGACAATTCAAATTGAACCGTCATAATAAGTACTTATTATCACTGTTCAGAATCGAACCAACATAAAAAAATATTTAAATTATAATTTACAAACCACATTATGACGGTTTAAAATTAAACCGACATAAAATTTATTTATTATAGCGATTTAATTTTAAATCCACGTAAAAAAATAATAAAAAATGAATTTTAATTATAAATTTATAACCGTATTATTTATTATAACGGGTAGATTAGAACTATTATAATAAGTCATTCATAAAATATTATTTTTATATTAATCCACAAATACTATTGGTATCACACATTTTGTAGCTGGAATCAAATCTATATATATTTTTTATCATCCTTATTCGTCTTGGAGAACAAAATGAATGTATAAGCAAAGCAGGTTAAGGAAGCTTTGCGAAATTCAAACAAAGACACCTCACTTTTTTTATTAAAAAACACATTTCGAACAAGTACATTTTTTTACATAAACAAAGCATATTCTGTGTAACATATTTGCTGTACAAGAATTTTTTTCTTCTTTTAAAACCATATTTCAAACTGCCAGCAAATATTAGAGATTTGAACAACAATAGAACACTATTGCAAATTGTATCCTAATGATCTTGCAATCTTATTTCAAAATTCTCTTAATTTGACAAAAAAAAAAAGAAAAAAACTGTAGAATATATATTTGTAAGTGTAAGATGGAGCAATCACTTAACTTTGTACCTATCATGAACATTTTCTTACTGAAAATAGTTAAAGCCTAGATATACTTTATGTAAAAGAATACTTGATTTCTTGGATAAAAAAAATTAAATAATGTTTATGGAGAATGTGGTTAAAAAATATTTATGAAGTTTCTACATAGATACATAGTCTTGAATTAAAGACGAATTAATATAAAAATTTCTACAGATCATTTTCCTTATCCTTTTCTTTTCCTTAATTAAGTTTTTGATCAAGTAAAGAGTTTCTTTTAAGGGATTCATTAATTGAATATAGAAGAGAGATTCAAATACATTGATTAAGTACTTATACTATAGAAAGTATAAATTGTTCTGACAAAAGGAAAAAAAATATATTATTCTATTGAAGAGCAAAATACATAAAACACATGTTAAAATTAATGATCCTCTTATATTAATTTGGTGATGGAGTACCACTTTCAATATCTTATGTCTGGAATAAATTAAAAAATATATTAATAAACTTCAATCACCATATATTACAATAACACTAACACAATACAAATTGTTTAACTCATGAATAATTTTCAATCATTTAATTTTATTGATTTCTCTACTTGGTAAAGCATGTTATCATATAAAAAATTCCTTCGACCATACTATTTCCTATATCTCATTAATTTACATGCACAAAGCCTAATTAGTAAAAGACGAGACCTATGCTCGGTCTATTTGGTGCCATAACTCTAGGATGCTTTATTAGGTTATCTCCTCCAATTTCTTCACATGCAACGGACATTAAACATAGCATGTAAAGACTCCGTTGTTCATCATATGTTATTTTGATTTTTTATATTTGATTAAATTTCAAGGTCAATGTGGGAGATGTATATGTCAGAGTAACTATTTCACGTAAAAGTGTTAAAATTTGTATAGATTATCATTATAACGGATGTATGTATTTTGAGAGATCTATTTTCTCTCTCTAATGGTTTTTTTTCCTCCGACAGTGGTAGTGGCAGTAGATGTTAAGTATTTTTGTGGGATTAATAATAAGAAGATTCTTACAAATAAGATATAAATCCACTCTATAAAAAAATATTACACCACATTCAATAAAAAATTTTAAGATACTAAGTTATGTGTCTTTTTCATTTATAAGTTACTCAATTTTTTTTATTTCTATTTAATATTAAACTTTAACTCATTTTAAATTATCAACAATCTTTGAAGAGTACTTGTGAAGGAGTGACTTCTTCATTCTTTTTGGTTTTTACACTCTCCTAATTTTTTTCCAGTGTTTATTCCTTCTTCTCTCTTGTGTTTTTTTTGGTTATTTTCTTCTATTTTAGATTCTTTGGAGGTTTAAATAATAACAATCTAACATAGATATTCATATATAATCATAATTGAGATCCAAAAAAAAACCATAATTTCAATTTAAATGAAAGATAGAGATATAGAACACTAATCCTGGTTACACAATAGACATCCAAATATTCTAATCTAATTGGGAAAAAATATTTAAAACCATCAATGGATCATAATGATAATGTCACCACTGCTTAGCATGATGGAAGAAACTCACGTAGAACTCACAATTGTAATCACTTAATAATAAAACTCTCACACACATGAAAAAGAGGAATCGTTGAAAAAAATATAAAACAAATTTATGTCGAATTATATCATGTTCAACATAAAAGAGTTTATTTTAATTTCAATAATATCAATATATTTTCTGTTACATCAGTAGTAACTAATTTGATGAAAAAAAGACTGACGTAAAAAAAAAAAAAACACATTTGCATTGTCACGATCAAATTCGATTTTTGAAACATACAAGTGATGTTTTGTTAATGTGTAGATAAGAAAGAGGAAAGTGCACCCTTTAAGAATCAATTAACGTAAGTCTCTTACATTAATGCCATAAACATAAATATACAAATATAAAATAACTTTGAAAAGCTCGTACACGTCGCATATGCATAATTAAATTTGTGATGGAAAGTTATATCTATTTTTCATTTTCAAAAATAGTTGTCATGTATGCCTAAAAACTGGGCAAGATATGTTTTGTTGTTTTGGTGAATGAAGAATGAAGTTGTGCATGATGGTGGTGTCACCCACCAACCCGCAGTAGGAAAATAGTTGCTGGTTTTTAGGCCTTTAACAAGCAAAAGCCATCAACATGACAGGTAGTGTGACATCCCAACCATTATTATGCCTCCCTACTACATATACATTCATCTATTTATTTTTAAAACATTTTCCCAAAATAAATATTTATGTTTAATATCATTAAAAATATTATTATTAATTATTCTACCAAGTTTTTAACCCTTACCGTTAAAGAAATCACTAATTTTATGTCATATGGATCACGTGTGTGGATTTAAATATCATTCAAGAATATTTGTGAATCAAAATTCATTCCAATATTACTTAAAATTCACGAAAGAAAAACTTCGCTAATATCACAACTTTAATCATATATACAAATCTATTGTTTATCATGAAATCAATTTTTTATAATATTAAAATTATATATATTAGGATATAATTATTTAATAGTTCATCTGATATAAAATTCACTACTTTTTTATTAGTGACGATTAAAATCTCAACAAAGTAATTGATATGGTGTGAAAATTAAACAAAATGGTTAATTGTATTAAATATAAATATTTATTATTTTTATTGTATGAAAAACATATTTAAAGTTGCTTTCTTCTATCATGTTTTGTGTGTTTAGATTGGACAATGTTAAATTAATGTTTTTTTAAAATAAAAAATTAAGCATGTTATACGATTTTCATTTTTCTAAAATATTTTAGTAGAACCAAAACGGCTATATTTCTTAAATATATATATAATGACACAAACTAAAAATAAATTTATTATATCTTCATGGACAAAAATTGAAAATTATTATATTTTAGGACATAAATACAAAATATTATTTGTAGGAAGTAAAATGTGTGTTAACAAAAGATTTAAACTGTTTTTTTAATCAAACAACACGCACTACATTTGTAAGGACTTCAAAATTATTGAAGTAAGTGTGTCTACTAATTAACTCAGGTTAAGAAATTTAAAAAATATTAGAAAAAACACTGTAGCATTTTATATATGAAAAAAATATATTTTACAAATAAGAACTCAGGATAATAGAAATCATATAAATGATAGATCTATTCAAAATAAAAGTGACAAAAAAATTTATAAAAAAAAACTAAAAATTAATCAAAACCATTTTACTTTTTAGGTTGTTTTAGATAATATTGATTTAATCTCTAATTAAAGGTCTTGTCTCATTAGTCAACGCTAATGACAAAAAAAACAAAAAACCTCTTGTAACATATATTTAAAAAACACAGTTAAAATCTCCATTTATATTATATTATCATATTATAATTTATATTCTCTAAAATAACACAACGATTTAAATTATGAAAAAAAAAATCTAATTAAACACATTGCCATGAGATCCTGCACATGAGTAGTAGGCAAAACAAATTGGGCAGGTGGAAAGCCCGAGTGTAGGCCCAATTGCATATAGATATTTGAGGTGGAAATTGGTAAAGACATACAAAGCATAATTAGATTCTTGAGACGTGGGACCTAAGGGAATGACTCACATTCACATATATATATATATATATATATATATATATATATATATATATATATATATATATATATATATTCATGGTTGATACTGATGTGCTGATACCTTCATGAGAAACAATCCATGTCTATGCTGTTATCCCAAGATGATGATACCCACAAGGGTGCTTAACACCCACCTACCAACGCACTCATCCATCTTTTCAAAAAGGAACACCTGACACCTGGGATAATAGATTGCACTTCTTGCATTCTACACCACTATGGTTTTTTTGGTGAACTTGCACATCTGAAAGACACTTTGTTTATATATATATATGCATATAACCCCTTCGTGTCACTCTAACAAGTGCCAATTATTGAAGCTTATAATAACCCCATCCCTCTCCTGAAACCCTTCACTCATTATTGTTAATGTTTTTCATGTAACGACAGAATCTCGTGTGCAGACGTGGAACATTTATGAGGACCTAGAGAACCAGTAAAATTGGTTTGTTTTTTCTCCATGCGCTATATGTCCAAACTTTTTCATCATGACCATGTTGAAGCTGGCTAAAGTGGGAATGAAACGAGTACTAGATGATTTGGAATCTGGGCCAAATTGTTAATGCAGCGTGGGGGAAGTCAATTATGCAGGTTTTTATTCTCTTGAGGGGCTCTACCTAATGAATTGGACGGCAATGCTACAACTTAAAGTGTTAATCTTTCACATGTATCACATGTTATAGCAAGAGTTTGATTTTCTGACTTCTGGCATTCAATATATGTTGACAGGTGTTGTTCAAAATAATTAACTTGGATTGTTATTGGATCCACAGGTTTTGAAACTGCAATGCGTAATGTATTGAGATTTTGTGTTCAAAATGGTACATGCACATTTTTTGGGCGGTAAATAAACCAGAAACACTAGCGTGTCATTTCACAAACATGCGTGGTGAAAAGCATTTCTATATGTCACGCGCGTAGCTGATTTTTGCTAACTCAATGCTGTGCCATTGAATATACTATGACTTTTGACAAGTCTGATATGAAATGATCAATTAATTGTTCAAAGCAAAAGTACTTGTATTCTGTAGTAGCTTTGTCAACGAACATGAGTGCGTTAAATCATGGTAAAAAAACTGTTACCTTCTTAGAGTGTATGCGTCACAACGTGTAATATTATAGATAACATATATCAATATCTTATATGCATTCCTCTTATATGTTATTAACCACTCAATGTCAATTATTTACTCAAGTTTCGGATTATTATTTTATTAAAAATAAGAGATGATGATGAAGCTGGCTAACAAGGGATGTTCCAAATTTGTAAAAGTTTAATTAATTAAAAACCAATATATGTTTCAATGGTTTTTTCTTTATATATACCTCAAAAATTTCATATTGTTTAGAAGTTGAGAAAAAGATAATTCATAAACAATTACCACCACTTTAGAATATTAAGTCATGTTTGAATAATTTTTCAATAAATACTGCTATGAGAAAAAAAATAGTTTATTTCTTTACAAATTGAACTTGAGTTATAGATAAAATAAAAATATATTTTGAAGAACTTAAATAAGAGTATTTTATAAGTAGTTTATACATAGAAATACATTAATAATTTATTTTACTTTTTCTTTCCCCATAATTACTTGTAGAAATTTTATCTAGACAGAAACTTACTAGAAAACTAAGCTTATCTGATGTATTTTTATGGTGGTAACTGCTAAATACCTCTTTGGTTTATCTTGGTAAAAGCATTACAAATTAAAACTATTATTTGGAGTAGCCAAAAGCCAGGGAATAGAGAAAAAGTATTTAACTATTCCGTACACATTACTGTTTTAATGCAAATGGAAGTTTTGTTATTCTTTTGTTGATTTTTAATTCCAGAGTGCTACACTTGCTCCTCCATATAAGGACCCTCTTGGCCCTTCCCCTAGGTCATCTCACAAATCCTTGCTCTTCTCCTTTCTCTCAATTAGTCATCATTTTCCCTCTTTCTATAGATATCTACACTGATATCATGGAGAACAAACCCCTCTTTAGGCTTCTAGTTATTCTTCTGGTTCTTTCCTCTGTTGTATTTGCTGCTGCAGTTCCTGCAACAAGTAAGTTTCAAGGGTTTGATGCAGACCTTTATTGGTTTTCGTATTAATTTTGGAATACTAATCTGATTCATCATGTTAAATTTTGAATCATAGGAAGCTCCATGATTGGGAAAATGAATCCTTTGGTGCAAGATCATCTGGCTAAGGTCTCTCTCTTTCTCTCTCTCCCTCTCCTTGCAGGTTCCTTTTTCTCTCAAGGGCAGATATTTCTATGTCCCAAAAATCCCAAAAAATATCAAGATATATAAGATAATTAACCCCGAAGGAGACATGTCTCTTGTGCCCTAAATACTGACAAAAACCGTTTTTGTCTGAACTATATATAATCAATAGTTGAAAGGTTTATCTCAAGAAAAAATAAAAAAGGAAAAGTTCATAGCAGCAAAGATTCCAAGTTCTGATTTCGCTGTGAACATCCAGTTAAACAAATTATAAACCGAAAATATGGCTGTTTTCCTATGGTGTTATTCAATCCGTAACTGATAACTCAACTATTACTTTTCCCTGTGATAATACTTTTTAACATGCTGCAGAACCCAGTTATGGAGTTAAGCAACAGCGAGGAAGACATGAACAAAGGAACTTCTGAGAGCAGAATGATGATGGATATTGTAGACTACCCTGGAACAAAACCAAATCCAGCTCATGATCCAAAATCTCCTGGAAAACCTTAACATCTTGTATTCCACTATATGATCTTGGAAATCAGGGTTTTGATTAATTATTTAGTTAGATTAGAAGTATCATGATATATGGTTTGGGTTTGTCCTGGTTTGCATTGTTGAAACCGTGTTGCCTGTATGAAATTTAAGATCCATCCTAGTTAAGTTGTTAACTCAGCTTAAATGCTTTGATATTCCACATGAGTCAAAAGGCTTGTTGTAAGATATATGAAAATCTGATGCATGTACTGTTTGATGATAAACCTTGATTTCCCTAGTGAAATGTGAACAAGCTGAATTATGTTTAGTCCTGAGTGAAAAATTATATGTGATGACACTGATCTATGTTACAAATTAAAGACAAAAAGGGTTAATGCACAACATGCATGAGCGGATAATTAGGGCAAGGGAAAATTTAAGAAGCCAACATGAAGGGTATAAGTTGCCAAAACAAGAGACTTGTGTAATATATATTTCACATTATGTATTCTAAATTAACTACATACAAAGCAGGAATAACATTCTGCAAACTAATGTGATTATATACTTAGAACTCGAAATAACTAATTGGTTAAAAGTCATTCTCTGTGCAAACAATTTAAATAATTTGAGAGCTACTACGTATTTGCGTAGTTATATTCCGCAATATCATTGCCCTGTGCATGTTCAAACAAAACAAACCTTAGATTTTTGTTTGAGTGTCAACGTTGGAAGAAATGTCATAAAACCAAGTTTCATAAATTTTAGCCTATTTAAAACATGTAAGAACTTTCTGAAACATTTTAGAAATATAAGAACAATTTGAGAAATTTTTCTTATGACATTAGGCCATTTTTGCCCAGCCCTCCAGTGAAATCCTATGTATTTTTCCACTCTAGAAGGAAAACATATCATTCTTGCACCTTTTATATATCATGGATTCTCCAAAGTCATTATGGGAACCAGTCACTGCCACATTCTTATTCTCATGGCTAGCAGAGTATTGAAAAATGTTCAACCTTTAGTTTTGATGATGCATCATTATAGAAAAACTAGAATTAGATGTTTGATTGCTTTATTTCTTGCATGATTGTTTGTGTTCATGCACTATGGGTGGAGTTTCTTAAGAGAGTGACTCTCTTAATTTGTTCAAAAACTTTAAAATGAAGTTAGGCAAATAACTTAAGATAAAAATTGAGTTATACTCTCTTTAAAAAATCATAAGGTTTTGAAGCAGGAATAATAATATGTATAATTTATTATCTTACAATCATATTATTGAAAGTTATAAACTTTCATAAATAATTAATTTTTCATTATTATTATCTAGTCTTTCTGAAGAATATTTATTTCACAGATAAATGATAAACTATTTCATGAAATAATTAATTATTTCATCTCATAATTATGTATTTTGATTTTAATATTTACTTGGATAATTTGATGAATAAAATAATTGATTATATGAAGTCATAATTAATTATATCTGTTTCTAGTGTGTATGAACTAAATTTCGAATCTTTTACATATAACAGTGAAAATACTTAGCTTTTGTTTTAAGTAAATTTACCATCTCATGGAAGATCATAACTTTATGTGAAGAATCAAATTAATTCTTCTAAAGAGAATAAAGTATCTTCTCATAGAGAAAAGGAGAAAAAGGCTAAGAAAATTTCCATTCATCAACTAAGATGACATCCTTCTTTATTCTTATTGTTTTGGTTTTAATGTTGTTTAAGTAGTGTGTTCAAGTTGGTAAGTGTAGAAGGGTCCTACATTGCGTAATAGTGTTTTTTGAAGGGTTCGTGATCCAAGGCTTATGAAGATTCCATTTATTTTAGTGCAAAAATATCACACAAAAAACGTTAATTGTAAGCTTAAAAACTTTTTTGTTTTCCGAAGATATCGTTTATAAGAGTGTTTTAGAAAACAAGGTTTTCAAAATTGTTTTTAAACTAAAGTAGATAAACACAATATATATACATAAGAATTTTATATTGATTCGTTTCTTCCCATGAGACCACATTGAGTTCTTAGGAAATCCATCAAATTCTGTTATATTAACTGAAAATTAAAGTATTACACAAATTACTGCTAGTTTTTTTTTTAAGTATTATTCTTTAAATTGATTCTCCACACAAAATATACCTAGTATTATTTCACAAAAACCTCTTTAGGCTTACAATAGATTCCCAAGAAAGTTCTTAGATTAAGAACAATGTTTCTTAAAAAATATTTAGATTCTAAAACATTAGATATTGTTGATTTTACATATTTTGAATAGTTTTGCATAGTCATTAAAGATTTCCTCATTAGTATATGTAGGTCATTCCGAAGAACTAAGAGAAAAACATTGAAAACATCCCATTTAGTTCTTTCATTTCATAATTTCTTTAAAATTATATATATAAAATATGTGTATATGACTGGATTCCTAGATATTTATTTCATAATGAAAAATTCTTCTATATTAATGTATATCATGGTAATAATATAAAATTAATCTATTTGGTTATTCAGTTATAATTAACATTAAATATATATAATTTTCTATTTAAAATATCTTAGTAAAATATTTATGAAAATAAGATCACTTTATTATTTATAAATAATCTTATTCTGAATCGAAACTTTTCTATTATTACTATTTTTTTTTCTTGACATAAGTATCACCATTGCAAGAATCTCTCTCTTCTTCTAACATTGTATAAAGTTCAATTCAATAGATCTTATAGTGACAACCATCTTATCAATTTGTCTGAGCTTATTTATTATTTTAAATATTTAGTAAGAATATAATGTATTACGTATGATTTAATGCATTTCATAAACTTTGATTTCTTGAATAGATAAAACAAGCTTCTTATCTTATTAAAATTGGTAAGGTTGACGTTTGTGTGATATTAGATTGAATTGTAACAAAATATTTCTCTTATCTCTTTCACTTCAGGTTGTATAACATGCATTATTAAAAATTCTTATTTTTTATGAGAATATTTTTGCAAAGCTTTTGTAAAAATTGTAAGAAATAAGTTTTCTATAAATTTAAACAATTTTTTACAAAAAAATTGGTAGAAAATTTATTTTCTAGTAGTGATGTATTATGAGAGCATTTTAGTTAGGAGTATGTTCCATCACCCTTTCAAACATGTTTGAAAACATAAGGCATTTAAAGAATAACATAAATAATATAATAAGAACACTTATGCTTCTCTTCAATAATGAAGAGTATCCAATACAGAAATCACATTCTTGCGATCTACAAGGTATAATGAGCACGACCATTCATAGTGTAGCACACTCGTTTTCCATTTTTGTTTTGTTGTTTTATTCTTTGCCATTGTAGGGCAGCAAGTCCTTATAGCAGGGAGAAAACCTATTTTCAGTGGACCACATTCATGCTTGGTTTAGAAGTTATTGTGAATAGAATTTACTGTTTTAAATAAATAAATATTTATAATTAAATAATTTTTATATCAAGTTCTTCAATAAAAACATACATTATTTTTGTTTTAATTTTTTATGATATTAGGTTATTGGAAAATCCAAGTGAGTTTAAATCTAACATTAAGTAAGAATAAAGAAATTGGGTAATCTATAAGAAAGAAAAACATATAACATAATGTCCCAATGATTTTTATTGAAATTTATGGCATTGTTTTATATAATTGACTTATGTTTTATTATTAAGATCTACTTGTTGTTAATCCCTCTCAAAAATATCTATGAATGGTATCAGAATCTTTGTTTGAGAGTCTCTCTGACAATAGGTTAACAAGGGACTCAGACTCATACTTACGAGAAGATTGTTGAAAAATTTAAATATGAGTCTAGGTCCTACAATAAATGAATATGAGAAAGTTGAACGACATATAAGAAACTTCAACTCACACTTACAAAAAAATTGTTGAAAAATTTAAGTATGAGTCTAAGTCTTACAATGAGTGAGAATGAGGAAGTTGAACGACATATAAGGAAGAAAAACTCATAACATAATTATTTAAAATTTTGAATCAAAGGTGATGTAAATTTCTTATTTGAGTTGGACTCATGACATACATAACCTAATGCATTTAAGGTTTTGATTTGAAGGTAGTATAAATTCTTTACGAGTTGGACTCGAAGGGATGTAACAATGTGAAGAGACTCACACTTACGATGAAATTTTTGAAAAATTCAAGTATGAATCTAGGTTACACAATAAGTAAAAATGAGAAAGTTGAGTGACATATAAAAAAGAAAAATACATAACCTTGAGTTAAATGTGATATAAATTTCTTACGTGAGTTGGACTTATAACATAAATAATTTAAGGTGACATAAAATTCTTATGTGAGTTAAACTTATAATATCAATAACCTAATGTCTTAAGATTTTAAGTTGAATATGATATAAATTTTTATATAACTCATACCCATTAGTTTAGATTCATCTTTGTTAAAAAAAAATTGATAACTATTTATTTTATTACTGGTCCAATATCCATTTAAAAAAAATATTTGTAGGTTTTGATAGTAATGAATATTTTATTTTATTTTATTTTAAATAAAATTATTTTATAAAATATATATACATATAACAATAATAATAATAATAATAATAATAAATTATTATAAAATTAATTTTTATAAAATATTAATTAAAATAACTTGTAGCATAAGATATAAATTTAAGTATTAATTTTTTTTTAAATAACTTTAATTTTATAAATTTATTAGTATCCGCAGGTTGAATATTATGATATTTGTAACTGCCTCTTAACAAGTAGGTAACTAAAATAATTCTATGCAATGAAATTAATTTGCAGGTTGGATATTATTAACAATAATTAAAATACAAGTACAATTCAATTGGTAAATTAATTGAATTTTGAGGTCACCAGTGATATAATTTTATTAATTAGAAGTAATAGCCAAAGGTTAGGTTTCCATTTAATTAATAGTTACTAACATAGATTATATTTAGTTTTAAAAAATGTAAAAAAAGTGATAATATATATAGATTTTGAGAGATTTTTTATTTATCATTGAAATATTAAAAGTGACATTTACATTGTGTTTTACACCATAAAGGCAAATCGTTCTCTTAACTTATAATTTATTTTAAACATATAATTTAATGTGAAATCGATTCTTGAAACATATAATGTAGTTTGAAATTGATTTTTAAAAATTACAGTGTAATGAAATTATCTCATAAAATTTAATTGTATAATCAATTATTGTATATATATTTTTTTACATTATAGACTAAATCAATTTTTTTCTTTCAAAAACTAAATTGCTACCGATTTACAAATTCGATAAGAATAATAATCATTTAATTAATTTAAAATTAAGATTAATAACATTAAAATATTAGAATACATCTTCACTTTAAATATGACCTATATTAATTATTTCCGGTTTTTACTTTATTATTAAATTTGTTTAGAAAGATAGTACTACTAATAAATTGAAGTTTTTGAAACTTTTCACGAAAAGTAAAACCTGCTTTAATTCAAGACGGGTCATTAGAAGGAAAACGAAAGTGACAATGAGATTTTTATATTAATTTTTTTTTTCTGGCCACATGGTTTTTCACAATCCTGTATGATAGTGATATATTGTGACATTAGTTTGATGAGTTCTATAGCTAACTACAAGTATATATAGATAGTTTGAAATTGATTTTTAAAAAATACAGTGTAGTGATTATTAAATATACTTATTTATATATTTAAAGTTTTATTTTTTATTTACTTTTTATAAATATTAAAACAAAATATTAAATAATGTTAATAAAAAATATTTTATATTAGTAAAGGTCGGTCATTGGATATAGCATTCCAAGAGGAAAAATTACACTGATCGACAATTGAAAACTAAGAAAAAAAATACTCTCTATTTGTGATTAGGGAGACAATTTAATATAATTATATAACTAATTAACGTATCATTCAAGTAAATAATCATAAATATTCAGAATGATGACAAGGTAACAGAAAAATATTATTTTTGAGGTACAACTAAAACTATGAGCTACAATGTGTTATGTGGTTACGTAAATTGGTGAAAATATATTTGCAATTTAATATAATTTTTTTAATCTTAAGTTTGAAAACAAAACATGAAGTAAGCAAAGTCTTTTACCATTTAAATAAATGTATTTTATAAACTAAATTAAATTGTGTATAGATTAATTTATAAAAACTGTTTCATTAAACTTGTTAAAAAATTCATTTTAATTTAATTTTAAACTAATTTAACCTACAAAAGAAGTTTGGTTCCTTTTATTTTTTAATTATTTTATAACCAAGTTACTTTCAAAATGTTTTAATTCATTATTATTTCATGAAAATGAAGAATAACTCTGATAGAGTAATTTTTAAAGTAATTTAATCTCTCCTCTTTTATAAATGGTAATTGGAAAAATTATGTAAACAGAAACATGACTCTTTTTAACACATATCAATAAACCCTAAACCCTAATAAAAACGAATGAAAAACGATATAAAAACAACTCTCCATTCCTTAGTCTCTTCCAAAACGATGATTACGAATGTTGTATTATTTTCTTTTAATTTAATTTATTGTCGTATTCGGTACGCTCATATCTTATAATGGAAAGCTAGGATGCTAAGGCACGTAGGGTCTAGTTAGGGCTAAAGTGAAGCAAGCTTTGATTTGATATTGCTTTGCACGTACAAGAGACAACTAGTCACATTTGTAAAACCATTTCTTGAATCAAGTGCACACATTTGACATTAGTGAGTGAATGCATATAATATTTATGTCACACCGACTTAAATTAACATATCTCATGTGTCCAATAATGGCCGTGTCAAACACAACTAAGAATATTAAATTTAGGGTAAGCCATATGAAAGCGTAAATGGACCCAAAAGGAACTACTTCTACATGATTTTGGAACGTTGTTAATGAGAGTAGGTAATGCTTTTCTCATTCCCTTAGTAGGACCATTTGAGAGTAGCCAAACATGATTATGTCTTATTTTCAGCAAACAAAACTTTAGTATCACTAGAGAATGTCATTTCGAAGGTAAATGCATGCTTCAAAAACTTCATTGGAATCTTATAGTAACTGTTCCATTGACGAAAGGTTCAAGTTTTTTTATCCTATTATTAACCTTTTTATTTTGTATAACTATACTTTTATTTGTATTAATTTATTCTTTGATACAATGATTCTGGACTAGTTTTCTCTCTAAATTTTTGAATAAATTATACAGAAGAACTTTTACAAATTAATTTATAAATCATATTATTTTAACTTTTTTATATTATGTTTTATAAAAATTCTTATAGAGAAATTCTTCTACACGTAAATTTATTAGAAATATAATAAAATGTGATTTATAAGTGAAGATATTTTCATAAATAAAGTTGTTAATATAAAAGTTTATCTAAGAAATTGTTATTAAGTAGATGAGTTGTTCCTCATGACACTGACTCTTGTATTTATTTGCATTGAAAAATTTATATTGGAGAATTTACGTATAACTAATTATATGATTAAGATAAAAACATATATAAAATAAATAGGAGAAAATTCTTAGATCTAATATAACGTTAGTTTATTATATTGTTGAATTATATTTTAAAAAAAAACTGAATGAAATCATGCAATTAAATCACAGATAAAAATCTTAAGAAATCTCTACTTTGATTTATGGAACATTTTTTTAAAAGTTTTGTGACATGGAAACACGTTTGAAAGTGGAACTTTATTATAAGGTCTATATGCATTACTTGCAATGATAGCAATTAGCCTAACCAAGGAATTATTATGAAATGGTAACAATCTTCTCTATCCACTACAAGAAAATTATATATTTCCGATGGATTTTTACTGACAGATTTGTAGTAGTAGAAAAATGAATTATTACTGATGGAAATTACCGATGAATATAAAATATTTATGGAATTTGGTTTTACCAACGGATATATCAATCGGTAAAATAATAATTAGTTACCAACAGTAAATCCGTTGGTAAATTCGTCGATAAGTTAACAATTATTTACCGACGGATATTTCCGTCGATAAATTCATCGATAAATTAACAATTAATTACCGACTGAATATTTGAATTCTGCTAATGACAATTCTATTAATCTGATAATAATTCAAAGTTAAAAAAAATATAATCGAGAGAAATAAATAATAAAAATATTAAAAAAATAAATTTATTTTTATAAACTAAATTAACTTATGCACAGATTAAAAATAAAAATTTACAAAAAATATGCGAGAAAACTTACTAATATTATAATTTATAAGAATCTCATTCAATTTTTTTTTCTTCTTTTTTCACCCATAATTACTTATATTAAAAGTTTTCTAAAACATACTTTTGTATCCTCTTTATAAAGATTGAAATTATAAAGGCCTACAGTGTCTAGATCCAATTTGTTTTGTTGTAAAAGGTTTACCCTTTTGAGTGAGATCCATAACTAGCAGTGTTAAGTAGTTAATCTTACTGGTTGGAATAACGTGAGCAATATGGCAAAAGTAGGACGCGTAAACAATCATTGCTTGGGAAAATTTTGGTTCCAACTGGGACGAAGATTTTTGACGAAGATGTCGGGAAAAGATAACCACAAATAATAAAAATTTATAATGCAAAAAGATAACCACAAATAATAAAAATTTATAAGTCTTGAATCCAGATGCAACTAATTCAATTGATACAATGTTTTAAAGGGAAAATGTTAAGTACATATGAGATTGGATTCGTAAGTATGAATCTTACTGTTCAATCCAATGTGAACGAACATCTAGTTGGCAACAGAGGCGGATGAATCAAATAATAATAATAATAATAAATATCATCTTATTCACTTACCTAGTTTTTTTAATATGCAACTTGTGTTGTGTTTATATAAACACCTATATTTAACAATTTATTCCAATCCAATACAAAACAAATCTTTAAAATATTTACAAGACATAAACCATCACCTTGTTGCAAAACACAATATCTATTACTAATTTTGCTAGAATAATAAAAAATAGTCATCATAAACTATTAAACATATACAATATTCACTACTAATTGTACTTGAATAATTAAAGTAATTATTGTACATAAATTAATATAATACCAAGTCAACTATTCTAATGTGTTTAATAAGTTGATGAAGTATGTTGTAAACATATGTGTCCAATGGAAATGCATTCACAAAAAACTACAATGTATTTAATTTAATTAAGTTTTCATAAGTATAAATAATATATAACTAATTTTATTTTATTTCATTTTTAAACATATATTTGTCTTATCTTATCCTAATAGTCATCTATTGCATTATGTGGTAATTACACTCATATCTTTCCGTTTGTCTATTATATTGTAACTCAAAATATACATGATTAAATTAGTTTGTAAGTAATAAGCATACACTAAAACCAAAATTTGTAATTCATACACTTTTAGTAGCAACTACATGAGTTTTTGCGTATTCCACCTAACCTACCACTCATTATGTTATATCTAGTGAAAGCACTAATAACATATACACTTAATTAAAACATAAAAGCATAATTGTATAGTTATATATAAAAGAGCCAATTTTTCTTACCAATCTACTATTTGCTAAATGTATATAGATGATTTTTTGTATAATGAATAAAACCATGCAATTATGTTATTATCCATGGATATGACAAGCAATTGCCAAATGACAACTACATTCAAACATGTACAAAGTAGTTAAAATTGAAATTAATTAAAGATAAAATATTTTATTACAAAGAGAATATACTTACTCATAAGCATACAATGCAAAATAAATCATTTTCCCCCTAGATAAAAAATTATTCGTGATGTTTATTTGTATCTCTATTTTTTTATTGCCTATTAAATAAATGAGTTGAGGGTCTAGAAATCTATACACCTCATGTTTCCCTTCATTCACACATAGTGTAGATACATACCTATAACAAGTGACATAATGATTAATCAATTATTTAAATAATCAAAATACTAAGTTTAAATAACTTACATCATTCACAATTACACAAAAGATATGTTAAGCTCTAGCTTGTCTGATACAATCTCTAACACATTATATATGTGTAAATATAATGGGACATGACTCCCCCTACCAAAAAAGGTAGAGTCTCATGACACCTCCATTGAGTGTGTACTACTGACCTTAGCAACATCTAATAATATAGTCAAAGGATCATCAATAGTATAATGTTTCTTATCTTTTCCAATATTATTCTGGCATAAATGACATTTTAATATTAGAAAAAATATAATAAACAAGTATTAAATAATGAATTGTGATTGTCATATCATGAAGTATCAAATGGGTTAAACTACATGTCTAGGTCAGGAAACAAAAATTTAAGTGTTTGTGTCACCGTAACAACCTCATCTATTGACACAAGTACAACAACACTACTATCACAACCTTCATAAAGTCAGTAGGAAGAGATACACTATAAACATATTGAAACATCTCCCAATTGGGTGGAATCAGTATCTTCAACATATAGCTCACACCTGATAGGATGACATGTGTCCTCCCTTGATGGCATATTTGGTTTTGTACTAGTTTGTTGGGAGAGTCTTAGGATCATCAACTGTTAGTCAAAATATTGTCACAAGTTTTGTGTCATAGTTTGTGTGACCTATTGTTTGAGTTCATCCTTAATTCCCTCCCTTAATTGTGCTTTGAAATTTTGTATCTCTTGGCTAGGACCACTAAAAGAGGAATGTAATTGATGCAATGTTGTTCCAAACTAAGATCTAATCCATACACCTACTCTAGCAGCTCAAATACAACCAGGGTGCTCAAGTAGGCCAAGGACAATTGATAGGATATCCTAGTGAACATGAGGAGCAAAAGTACCCTATGTATATTCTTCAACCAAAGAATCTTGCAACACAATCAAACTATGGTATATTGTATATTTTATATAATGAATATTAACAAAAATAAAGAAATAATTATTTACAATTCATTCAACCATAAGACATTAGTCCTTAGAAGTATATATACATGATTTTTTAAGTTGAGCTTGCTTTCAAATGCTAAAGTGAAGGTGGAGATGGTAGGTCAAGTGCAGAAACATCTAATGAAGATGCAGGTCATGCTTTCTCCTTCTCCGTGATCATTATTTGTTCAAGTTTTTAATAAACCCATGAGACAATAATTGAACAGTCACATTAGGTGCTTGGGTAGCTTGTTCTTTCTTCCGACACCTTGTCACCAAGTACAAATAATGTGATGAATTAGTTAACAATAATTGTCATTATATTCATGAAAAATAAATAAATGTATAATTACTTATCATTTCTCATTTTATCGAGTCTCGAACAAACATTACCTAAGTTTTTTCATTAGAATTTTCATTACTCCTTGCATCAAATGCATAGTTCATCATCAAACTGATGTCAATTTGTTGCAATCGAAGAAAGAATATTCTATCTAAATGTCCCAACATTAGGAATATCATAATTTGTTTGTGAAACAATAAAAAAAATGGTTATAAAATAGGATTTGACAGATTATAAAAGACAAAATATATGTTAAAAGATTTAGTAAGATATCTTACCAAATAATGTTTCTCTCAACCTTAGTGGCATGATCCCAAGATGAGACTAAGATAGAAATCTTCTCACGGGATAACACCAAGGTAACTACTAAAAGAATCAACATTTTACCTATAGGTCACATCTCGTGTTGACATTAATAGTGACAAGTGTTTTCACTACTACTACGTTTAAGTGAGAGGAACCTTAACCTATAATAATTATAAGTATTAAATAAAAAGCTTAACAAATTATTAATACACATATGTGTGTGTGTGTGTTTTAACAAATTATAGTGTGTTTTAACAAATTATTCATACACATATGTGTGTGTGAGTGTGTTTTAACAAATTATTCATACACATATGTGTGTTTGTGTGTTTTAATTCATACGTGTGTGTGTGTGTGTTCTAACAAATTATTCATACACATGTGTGTGTGTGTGTGTTTTAACCAATTATTCATATACATATGTGTGTGTGTGTGTTTTAACAAATTATTCATACACATATGTGTGTGTGCGTGTGCGTGCATCCGTGCGTGTGTGTTCATCGTGGTCTTTTTTAGTGGCATGTACATCATCAACAACGTCGTCTAGGTCAGTTACAGTAATTGTCGATGATGTGAATTAATGAGTGTGACAAATATCAAGATTAAACTGTGTATTTTCATGAGTAATTTTTTTTCATGAAGAACATTTGACTAATGTTCAAAAGTAGGATCTTTGACGTAAAACACTTGCTAAACTTGATGTGTCAAGATAAATGGTCCATCTTAATGTCCTATCTTTTGAAAATCAACCAATATTATTCTTAATTCATCAATCTTCACACCATTCTTATTGTTAACCTACTTACACTTGAACACAATATTGAAAACCTAGTGTAAGTAACCTTCTAGATCTCCTCAATTATACCATAATATGACATTGATCCAACAACGGGGTTTTGATCTTTAGTAATAGAGAACTTTAGTAGCTCTGCCTAAAGAGTGACACCACTGTTTTGAACTATACTTTTGTCGTTCAGAGACATTGTATAGAATGAACAAATATTAATATTATATCTAGTACAACGTACGATATCAAATTTAAGCCCATTTATTAGTCATGCTAATGTTTCAGATGTTATAGTATCTTTCATAATTTCATCTTTAAACCATGCCATGAATGTCTTGTTATGCTGCATTAACACTCACTTCTTTAGTTGTCTTGGATTATTCTCTTTGACAATGACTTTATGAGTATATAAGTAAGGAATTACCTAGTCTGTATTGTTGAATATATACAAATATTTATGAAGAATTACGTCATCACGTAAATACTTACTTGTTGATCATCTATTGTTCCAGAACTTGGTTGGAAGTCCTTTAGGATTTGTCTTTGTCATGTAATATGAATAAAACTCAATATCTTCTTTTGCAATGTATCTCGATAATAGAGGCTTCCGTACAATATTAATCTTTTACATACCCTTTTAAAATCTTCATATAATGTTCAACGGGATACATTAATCTTAGATAAGTTGGACCTTATAATTTTATTTCTCTAGCCAGATGTACAAACAAATGCACCATACTATCAAACAAATATGGGGGAAAAACATGTCCAACTAAGAGACAATAACAATAATATCCTTTTTCAATGCATCCAACTTTTTATGGGTCAATTACTTTACTACAAATAAAATTGAAGAATGCACACAATCGAGTTATTGTTTACCTTACATTTTTCGACAAGATTCCACAAATAGCTACAAAAGAACAATTGTTGCATCAAGATATGATAATCATGAGATTTAAAACCAACTAATTTCAAATCTTGCATAGATACAAGACTATTTGAAGATAATCTTTGTGATACTTTCACACTCTTGAGGCATTGGCAAAAACATATTTTCTCCCTTTTTGACAATGTAACATGTCAGGAGCAAATATGCATGTCTTCCTACCTCTATTGGAGCTAACTCCTCTTGCATCTTCATTTTAATCAAATATGAACGTACAATGATACCATCATTTGTTTTTTTTATTAATGTTGAGAATTATTCCAATTAAGCTATCACATTACATCTATACAATGTATGACATTTAACTTAAATCAATATGGTAGATAAAAAGAAGATAGACCTTTTCTTCCAAATTTCAATTATAATTGGTTTCTTCTTCTTTTACACAAAGACAATATTTATATCTTTCACTCTTTTATAAATATAAGCACCACCAGTTAAAGGAGTTGGTAATTTCTCATTCTTAATATACACTAAAAACTTTTCTTTGTCTATTGTAAAGACAAAATCTTTTCATAAATCTTTGATGTCAAGAATATATTTTCTTCCTTCCATTTTCAATTGTTTATAACTAATATTTTCTTCACAAATAGGACAACCATTGTGACCCTTCACTCCATAATCTGACAAGTTTCCATATGCAAGAAAATCATTAATAGTACAAAATAACATGGATACATATTGAAAGACTCACAAACAAACCCATCAAACATTTTAACTCTTTCATCCCACAACAATTTCAAGTCTTTAATCAATGGATTAAGATATATATCTATATCATTTCCTGATTGTCTTAGGCCTGAGATTATTATATATAACATTATGTATTTACGTTTCATACACAAGTCCTAAGTTGTAAATAAATAACAAAATAGGTCATAAACTATGATTAATACTTAAATTACCAAACAGATTCATTCCATCTGTAGTTAATCAAATTTAAGATTTCTTTACTCATCTCCAAATTGGGAAAACTCGTTATCAAAGTCCTTCCATTGCATAGAGTCATTTGGATGATGAATCAATCTATCACACATCATCCCATATGTATGCTATCTAAGGTTTTTAGCTTCATTAGGATTCGCAAATAAACACTTAAACCTTAAGATTATTGAAATATAGCAAATGGACTTAGTAGGGGTCCCTCAATTGTCATGTCATCATTATTATCTTTTACTTTTTAACGAGATGACCCACACATTGGACACTTTTTAAGCTCTCCAAACTCATTTTTGTATAAAATACATGAATGCATCTTTTTATATTTCACACCCATTTAAAAAAGTATCTTCTTTGCATCATACTTACAATTGGGTAGTTTATTTTCTTTTGGAAGCATGTTCTTCAACAACTACAACAATTCAATGAAACTTTTATTAGTCACCAGATTATGATGAGTAGGAATTTCCTAGATTTCTTGTTGATTCTCTCCTTAAAAATCAGACTCAGAAGAAAAATACATTGTATCTTCATAGAAAATCACATCTATTGTTATATACATATGATGAGTAGGAGAATGATAACACCTATAACTTTTTATGTACAACATATCCAACAAAGACACATCGAATGACTTGTAAGACCAACTTATTCGTTGATGCTTATGAAGATGAAAAAATGTAACGCTTCTTCGATATGAGGAAGTGTGATTAACAAAATTATCGTCGATGTGAACGGGGTGTGTTGAGAAATCACACATCGACTAGAGATATAACAACGTTGTAGTATATAGGTTAGTATAATCCTTATCTTACTAAATCAATTACTAGAGATATAATAACATTGTGTTAGATATATCAACATTTCTAAGACTTACTTCTCATTTCACCCCTATTCCTCTTTTTTTTTTTTTTTTAATTCCATCCCTTTGATGTGATTTTGGGATGTATTTTTTTTATATATTTTTTTCTAATCATATTTTTTTACTACTATTATTAAATTAGATTTATACAAATATTAAAAATATATTTTTATGCCTAGGATAAAATCTCACATTGACTAGAAATATGATAATATTAGAATATATTGATGAGTACAATATCCATATTATTGAGCTAATTTTGTAGGGTTTAGTTAGGTACTTGTCCATTTCTAATATGGCATCAAAATTAACTTTAAAGATGTTTGAAGATGAAAAATCTCACTTGGGATGAGGGGGTATGATGAAAATCCCCCTCTCTTCCAAGGGATTTGTCATGTTGTAACATCGTTAAAGTAGAGTTGACTCCGATATTATTTTAGAAATATTGATATATCTAATGAACTGTCAAAATGGGTGACCTAGCATAGTTTGGTCTGACCTTATGAATTAAGTAAAAAAATTATTCGTTCGATCGACTTACATTTTAAAACGATAAAAAAAAAGTCTCATTTGGTCTTATGTTAAGCCAACAGATGGGCCAATTTGGCTTGATTAAATTTAAAAAAATATAATAACATATATATACAAAATTAATTAATTAAAAAATATTTAAATAAAAATATTTTTTAATTTTTAAATTTATTAATGAAATTAATTTTTATTTAAGATATAATGATTTAATATAAATTATAAGAGAATCCATCCATTCAATCTCAAAATAAGAATTAAAAACTTACTCTTTATTATTATTTTTTATTTTTTAGTAATTTATTAATTTAAAATAATAATTAATTTTCATTATTAGATCTTGAAATAAGTTATGGTTAGAAATATATTATGATATTTACTCTTAGAATAAATGTATTCATTGTCAAATTAATTTATAATACATATATATTTTTTAAATAAAATAACATTATCTTTATTTTAT